TCCGGGAAACATTGATGTCGCGAAGATCGACAGCATCATATTGTGCAATGTGCGAGGCCCAATTTAGATCTAAGAAAGCCAGCAATTGTAGGTCAAGTGAGCAATGAACACCCACGGTGCTATCATCAAATGGGAGAAATTGATTAGTGACAGGAGCCACATAGTACAGAGTTATCAGAATCTCGTTTGTTCCACATGAGGATATGATTGAAGTGCGGCGGTGTGCGTATGTTTTCGCTATGGAGGCGGAAGTTTTTTGGTTCCTAGTTAAAGAAACCTGATGAATTTTCAAATGTCTCTCAAATTTTTACAATTGCGATCGGCCAACCAGTACAATAACTCGAGCGCAAAAATTGGTGGTCTTTACATCCGACCTTCGCATTCATAAGGAACAGTCGTGTGTTGCTACCAGCCATCCTACGTTTAGTCCATTACCGAACGGCTGTCAGGTTTTCTCGCGCCCTCTTTCTTCTTTCTCCCGACTGATCCAGAGATAAGCGTGCTGCCAGATAAAACTGAGCGGCGTGGATGCTGACCGTTCATCGACAAGAATGGGTCTTGTCTGTAGTTGACTAGATTGGTGCTAAAAACACCATCGACAGTTTTATTTCAAACCACTTCTTTTGGCCACATGCCATTCGTTCGGTCGCTACGCTATGGCAGTATCCCGGCCCTGGTGCTTCCTTCTGGTGGCATGGCAGTTAGGCACCGAAAGGGTACTACAGCTGGACATGGCCCATCTCGTGGTTCAACAACGAGCTTCCGTGTGAAGTCATAGGGTAACACTGACGATACAGCATCCAAATCACCGGTTTTCCAACATGATAGCTTCATTCAAATTCAGTCTACCAAAGCACTCCCGTCACTAATAAACTGGAATTTACCGTGGTGTGACGGTGTTTGTACCCCCTTAACCCAAAGAGTGACCATGTAACACTTGCGGGGGCCCTGATACTGTCCTCCGCCGTTCGGTTATCCAGCTCAATCAAGCTCAACACATCTCTCGGTACAAAAAGCAGTGCTTGTTTGTAGTGCCGGCTTATGCCCCAAAGGACTGCAGTTCTGATGCTGATACCTACTATCGAAAGTTATCCGAGCTCATGCGTCATGTGATCCTTTCAGGCGATCTGAATGCTCAGGTAGGTTGTCTGAGTTCTTTGGAATCACATTTCGGCGGTCGATTCGGAGTCGATGCTCGCCGCACAGACAACGGAGATCGACTCCTTCAGTTGTGTGTTGATCATGAACTGTTTCTGGCAAGTACGAACTTTCATCCGCGTAACCTGGCGGCGATCAATTGCAAATCAGCCTTGGACCCAGTTGGGCCATGTGGCCATCAGCCACCGGTGGAGAGCCACAACTCAAGACTACAGTTCCTTCTGGTGCGCACCACTTGATTCCGATCACGCCATGGTGCGTGCACGCCTGAGAGTTAGCTTCCCTTCAGGCCCTCGCAAGTCAGCAAGAGGCATGTCAATCCACTGCCTTCGAAGAACTATTATAGCTCAGCAGTATCGATCTGAGATAGCCGAACAACTCTCCACAGCAAACCAATACTTTGGTGGCAGTGAGCATGTGGATGAGGCGTGGCAAAATATGGAAGCAGCTATGTTAGCGGCGTTCATTGCTATCTGTCCGACCTCTCCAATTCGACCACAAGACCACTGGATGTCGTCGAGATCGCTATCCATGACTGATGCCAGGAAAGCCACGAGTACGACGGCGCACACAAATCCCTCAAACACCAAATAGTGAAGAGTCTAAGGAAAGACGGAGAGCTCTGGTGGACATCGAAAGCTCGGGAGATGGAGAAGGCTTTGGCCACGGGGAAGAGCCGTGCTCCCTAGCAACTGATACGATCACCTGGTCCTAGGAGAGCAACGGTCAGCGAAACGATAAATGAAAAAGATGGCTCATTAATTCACTCGCAAAAACGTCAATTGAAAAGATGGACCGGACACTTAGGAGAACAGTTTAGCTGGCCTCTTGAAACCCAGTCTGTGGAGATAGTGCATGCGGACGAGTGGAGTGGATCGCTCGTCGGAAGAATAAATGAAGTACGAAATATCCGTACTGAAACGTGAGAAAGCACCAGGACTGGAGGGTCTGTATCCAGGCCTCCTCAAAGGAGGTGGAGAACCTCCGATGACCAGTCTAACAAAACTAATTGGTACGATACGGAGTGAAGAAAAAGGGCCTGCAGAATGCAGCAGGTAGACAGTTATCCTTATCTTCAAAAACGGTGCGCGGACGCTGTGAAGACCACCGTGGCATCAGCTTGTTAGCTGTGATATCCAAGTTGCTCTCTGGCCTCATCCTTCGAAGGTTGAATGAACACAGGGAGAAGCAGATATGTGAGAACCAAGTCGGGTACCGTCCTGCAAGAGGATGCATCGATCACATCTTCACCCTCTGACAAATTCCGGGACAGAGACACCGCTTCCAGAAACCAACAATGATTGCGTTCCTTGGTCTGAAAGCTATCTTTGACTCTGTGGAGCGTCAGGCACTATGGCAGTGTCTGTGGAGCAAACGTGTCCCCATAAATTCTTGACCTTCCTTAAAGCGATGTACGCCAACTCCCGCGGCCGTGTGAAGGTCTACGGGAAGCTGTCATCAGAGTTCACCACATCAGGTGGTGTCAGGCAACACTGTCCAATTTCACCTTTCCTCTTCAACGTCACCACTGATACGATTATGGAAGACCCACTGCCAGCCTCTGATGAGTGTGGGTTCGAAGTTCTCCGCTCACAGATCTAGAGTACGCAGACGACATAGCTCTTTTCGGATCTGACACTGTGGTATTGCGAACAATATTAAATAACCTAAATAATTCTGCCTCATGGTTCGGCATGCGCTTCACACCTGCAGTGCAAAGTACTACTACAAGACTGGGTAGGGCTGGATCAGTCCCGGTGATCTACTGAAAGATGATATTTCCATCCGGATTGGGAAGGCCAGAGCAGCTTTTGTGAACCTGCGTCACCAGTGGCGTAGGCGTGACATCAGCTTTTCTGTAAAGGATCGAGTTTTATATGCTGCGGTGCGATCTATATCGCTATACGGGTCAGAAACCCGGCTGTTGCGCGCCCAGAACATAAAACAACCTTTAGTGGTTGACCACGGATGTCTTCGGAGCATTGCCCGAGTCTAGTGGGAACATCGGATCAGCAATGTTTAAATACGTCGAATTGTATTCGGAAGAAACAACCCAACCACGAAAAATAACAATGGCTTGACCACGGGCTCCGTATGCTAGTCGTTTATACTAGTGGTGGTTGAATTGGAAGTATCACGAGCTATTCCGACCATACTGTGCTCCCCCAGTACTTAACTGTTATTGTCAACAAGAAAGGATTGTGTATTCATAGGTGCTCAAGAACAATCCAAGATCCGGTTGGGACGTTCCCCATAAGCAGTCTGAGTCCGGAAAGTGAAGTAACGAGGTAAGAGAAACAAGTGTTTGATTGCACAGCAGGTAATTAGGATGCCGGAAACGCCCATCGCCATATACTGCAGTGGCCAAATCGTGTGCTAATTTCATTGCTTTTAGGCATGAATAGTGTTATTATTATTATTATTATTATTATTATTATCGTTCAGTCGCGATACTTTCGGTGCACAGCCACCATTCAACCTGAAGGAAGCACAAGAGCAGAGGCATGCCTGGTGGCCTGGACACGAGCAACCGTAATGCTTGGTTCGAACTACAGACCTTCGGATCAGTAAGGTCGCACCTTAACCACTAAGCTACCTCGGTTTGTCTTGAAGAATGCTGTAAAGTGTGAGGTGACTTGTTGGAAGGACAAGAAAAATGTGGTGAAACGTTTCCTGCTGCGATCCGACTTTCTGGATAGGGTCTCAAGTGAAGAGCAGTTGAGTACAAATGTTCCTAGACGTTGAACATCGACTAGAGCGCCAGCTGCTAGCCGGAATGTGTGCGGTTCAAACCTCACTCTTGCTTTTCCATTGCTCGTGTCTAGGCTAAGGTACTCTGGCAGCATCCCAACATCGAACTACACGACAATCATGCACTGAAAGTGACTACAAATGAGATATTTGGCCATGAAAAATAATATCACTGGTCGATCCCTCTGATGTTTGTTCTGTCCGGTTTTCCAATTGAGTAGCTGGAATGCGATGAGCCGGCATCGGATACCCTTCCTGCCAGCCGTTTTTTTCATCACAGAGCTTCAGACAGATTGACTCTGCGGCAGTGAGGTAGCAAAGCTCCACATAACGAGGTACCAACTGAAGGAGTACGCGTTATGCCTTTCAAATCCTGAGAAGATCCTACCTCCTCTGTCATTACTACTTATTTTTGGCTAAGTCGGAGCGGCGGAGAGATGGGAACATAAAGTGACATGGCAGGAAAAAATGACGTTCCAAAAATGCGGGTATTGTCAGCCTTTTAGGATGGGATTCATTACGGCCCTGTGCTTAGATAGAGACACTGGACGATATGGCGGCTAACCGATGTCACTGGAGTTCATGTAATCACCAGAAAGAAATCGTCTGGTTGAGTGTGTAAGCACCTCGCCTATCTATTGTAAGCTAGCCCTAGCACTAGCCACCTTCCGCGCCCCATTTCCTCTTGGTAATAGGGCTTCAATCAAATAAACTGACATGGTTGTACGGCACTGAAGCGTCAGTGATGTCACCTAGTGTTGCTATTGGTGACGATGACGATTGATGATGACTTGTTTTACCTATTGTTACTAACAACCATGAATAGGATCAGGTCGTCCAGGCTCGTTGGCATTTTTTCTTCATGTGTAGCACTTCTGGAACAATATACTCCACGAAACCAAAACACAGACCGATCCTGATGTTCCCATTCCCCTCTGAAGCTCACCATCGAATTTAGCTTACTCACTGTCTGTATGGTGGGCAGCGTACAGCCAACGACCAAACACAAAAAGAACCAAATTTGAGTTTACCGCAAAACCCAAGTTATTCGACAGAAAAAAGTGCGCAGGACAAAGGATATAGGGACTTACCTTCGTGATCTCGTGTTGGGTTGCATACAAAAGTAGGAAAAGGCCTGTGACCAAACCACATTCACGCATCCCGTAGTGGCTGTCGATGTTAACTGATAGGTTCCGCAGCAAACCGACCATGGCCTTTACTAGCATCCATGACGTCACAGGATTTTGTGGTGGTTGACAGACAAGGCCAAGATCAGGACATATGCCTGCGGTAGCCGCGTGCAGAATTCGGGTCAACAAAGGCAGTCCAGCAAGTTCATGCACGACCATATGCCTGGCAGTTTCTTCTTCCTCGTGACGGCTTGTCAGGTGCCTTAAAGCGCACATACATGGCTCCAAAATGTCTTCCCTGGCTCCGATTTGGCCAACCGCTCGCAACAAGCCTTGGATACCACCGAACTAAAATGATGAGACCCAAGTCAATCAAATCTTACCTTGTGCACGACATATTTGTTCGCGTGATTGTTGCACGTCAGGTTTGAGAGAATCCCTGCGGCACAAGTGACCGTATTCGCATCTCCACAGTCCAGCAATTGGACAAGAGAATGCAGCAGAGGTTGCAGGTTATCCAATCGGGTAGCAGCATCTGACAAGTTCCGGAGAGCCCACAAGCAATTGATCACCAACCTATGGCTGGAGCTCTGAAGATGCTTAGCCAGTGCATCCATGCCACCTGCAGCAATTATGGCTGGTTTATTTGAGGTACATACGCTAAGCACTTTCAAAACCCGGGCAGTTGTCCACAGAAGCTTTTCGTAAGAGTATGCACGAAGTATTCGGACTAATTCCAAAGGACCACCGCTAGAAAGTATCTGAAGTTTGCTCTCTTGATGCCCGTAGGCTAATATTTGCAAACAGTCAGTGCAAATTGTGAGAAATTTGATGTTGTTTTTTCGGAGCAGAATGGTCATCTTTTGTAGGCATCCGCTTTGACGAACAACGGCCTTGGCACCATCTTGGTGTAGCAGAAGGTTGTGTAACGTAGTGATGGCGTAGAAAAGTACGGACTCCACTGGAGAATTCAAAAGATTCACCAGACACGGCACACATTGGGCGGCAAAGATGGCCTGAAATGTTCAGTATGAACTGAAAGCACTTACCTTGAGACCTGTCTGAGTTTGGGACATATTATAAAGTGTACCAGAGAGGAAGCGAACCGTTTCGGGGTCATCTGTCCGGCCAAGTGCAGAAATGATACAGTCAATCATGTCCATTGACTTTATGAGCGCATCAATGGCTTCAGACTTGCTCAGTTGGAACACCATCATCGAGGACTGGTAAATTATAACCTGATCGTCTTCGTCTTTGATTAGTTTCACTAATTCAGGAATAGCAGTGGCAGCTTCGTCGGTATCTATTTCGGGGAGTTTATTGCCCCGGAGATCTACGTTGCTGGCAGAATGAGAGCCTCCAGGCGTGTCTCCGAGTGCCTCAATCCCCAGCACACTCCCAGTGCTTGGGGTGGCAGGAGAGAGTACGGAAGAATCTGCGGGGTTAACTGACATGGGGAAAGATTGCCACTGACTGAAAGAACAGGGTTTCCGACCCAGGTAGCGGTCATCTAGTTCGCCATCGTCCAACCCTACTTTGCTACTGATGCTAGGTGTGTTGGTCCCCAGCGCCGTTTCAATACCGGAGTCCGAAAGGTAGCTGCTCTGTTGCCACATCTTTATTTGCTGGCATTTATCCATAAGCTGCTCTGGGTGGGGTCCGGGTCCTGAATTCCCAAGACCGGTCACATTCCCAGAATGACATTCAGGACTATCCGACGCGGCAGGGTTAACGTCTGATTCCATTATGTAAAATTAACGAAAAAACGAAATGAGCATCACACAAACGCAGGACAGCGATGTAGGTCCGAAACGAAGTCGCCCCAAACAAGATGGAGCCGAGGCTGCCGGCAAGGTCAAGGGCAATGCTGGTTCTTGTGTCGGTTGAGAAATAGCCGAAAGTTCCACTACCTAGGGACGTAAAACATGCGACCAAGTGAATGCAAAAATAAATTGATTCATATGTCTTCTATGAAAGCGAAGTGCACTCGGGATATATTATCTAAGAATTTGAGTTGCCGACAGTTTCGCCGCTTATCACACCAGTGCGTTTCAAGGTGAGAATTTAACCATCGCGCATATTCGATTATAGTTCAAACTGATCACAATTCCGGCGAATGGTTCTCAGTATTACGTGCTTGAACTGCTGAGCCACTGAAAGAGAGATAGAACTAGTGGGTCCGCTTAACTCTTGTGACGGATCTTCGACGTCAGATTTCGCTTAATCTACAGTCGTAAGTCTGCGATGTAACGTGACCAACTGCTCCGAACTTGCCCGGCATGGCGAGAATGACGGCCTGTTCCAGCTTGCAAGTTGGCGTCTGTCCCCATATCCAGGTTCGGTTACCCACTTAAAATTTCATGATGACGCGATGATGGTAGCCGCCGTTGTGTGTGGATTGAGTTCGCGGTACTACGGCTTGCATGGGTTTTGGTTGTTTCCGGGTGGACAGAAGGCATTTGTCGGATTAACGGATTGATACACAAGATCAAGGCTTTTGCCCAAGATTCCCGGGTCATTTTTGTTCTTGTCATTCAGCGGCTGTCGTTCACCTGAAAGGCACAAAAGAAAAAAAGAACGTTGCACTGCTCTTTATGTTCTCAGCGCGGGGCTGTATGCTTGCCAGCGCGAGGGTTCGCATAAAGTGGTGCTTTGAACTGTGTTCTAGAAGGAGCGTGGACAACCGTCGAAGGAAGGTCATTCCACGCAGCTACTACCTGAAATGAGAAAAAAATTGCCAAATGAATGTGCGCACCCTGAGCTTGAAAATCTTCTTACCGACAAGAACAAAACCGACCCGGGAAACTTGCGCACAAGCCTCGATCCTGTGTATCAATCCGTGATCCGTGTCCCGGCCGTGTGTTTGCTGGGCCAACGGTGAAAAACCTGCTTGCCAAGCTTTGTTCAACCAGAGCATAAGCAAAAAATTATGTACCCTCGGATGCGACGACTCCCCAGGGGAAAGGGATCAAGCACCGTGAGACGCGTTTCGTAGTCCACGGATTTGAGGCCGGCAACCATTCTCGTAGCGGCTCGCTGGACACGCTCGATGAGGGTGCAGTCTTTCCTGCGCTCTGAGTAGACAACTTGGTTGGCTTATTCCAGGAGCGGTCTGGCGTAGGCTTCATAGAGTATCTGAAAGTCCATGCGAGTGAAACAGGAGAAGGTGCGTCAGATCGTCCGTAAAATGGCGAATGACTTTTAGGCCGATTTCTGATGGTGCAGTGAGGAGGGCAAGTTTGAGGAGACTCAAATACCCAAATCCTTTTTGGCGTCCATCCTCATGATGGTTTCTGGTCCTTTCTGGCGCACCTTAACAGTCCGTATTCGGAGGATGAGCTAACATGCAGCTCAAACCCACTTTCGTTTACGTATCTGGGAGACAGGCCTCAGCGCTGATATGAGGGAGGGAGTATTATGTCCGGCCGTTGGCTTGTTGTGTGGGCTGGGTAAATTGAATGCAAAAGTTCCCAAATTGTAGTAGTGATAAGTTTTTTCACCAACCTGCAAGGAACATGCCAACTGAGGTATGAGCGAGTCGTTATAACCTGAACGCAACAGGAAACAACACTACGGGGAGGAAGGTGCGAACGACGCAAAAAGTCAGCGTGGTTGTGGGAGCCAAAAACAAGGGATAATCGGCGTGAGGTACGAATAGTTCAATGATGAAGCCGGTTGACATGAAAAAAACTTCAAATCATTGGCGGCTTGGTACGGTTGAGTGATCGGACAGGGGATACGCATTTCCGTGGCAGCTTGACCTGGATTTGACGAGGAGGTTGATACAAGTAGAGACAGACCGATAAAGAGTCACGGGTGACTTTTGATTCAGTTAGAGGACCATGTGGGTGTAGACTGGGTACCGGCCAGATTGAACGGAGCAACCGCAGACGAAGTGTGGAGCCTTGGGAGAGGGGTAGTGATGAAGGGATGGGATGATAACAGTAGCGCCTGGTGAGTTTCGGAAGGCGTCAGATAAAACGGTGTCCAATAGAAAAAACCAAAATGTGATGACAGAAAGCCAACTATACATACACAAGGGTGGGTTTTTGTCGGTTGAACTGGCAACTAATGACTAATTGAGGTCGATGACATTATGCGGACACAAAAATCACTATCAGTGAGCTTCTACTCGTTATAAACGCCGTATTGCCAACCAATCCATACACAGCGCTAAGCTTCCCAAGTACGTACTGATGTCGTCACCCCAACTAGTGATGAACCGTTTGCAATCGATTTACGCAGCTCAGCAAACAAGCCAGCGACTATCTGCGCCCCATCTGATACTAAAGCTCTCCTCTAAATTAGGGGGTCTGTTTAGGGTCGTCGGATGCGGCGTCATGATGCGATGGATCCAGAAAATCCGACTTTTCACTAATAATTGTTCAGCAGTTCCGTTTGTCTGTTTCTCCCTTAGTCAGATGTCAGCCGAAGGGACGGTTCGCAGACTGGTGAAGGGGCGCCCATTCAGGGCGTAGACAAGCCACATGGATGCTACATAATTACCGACGGATACTTTTCCACCACCGGACCGCGTCATCAAATGATGGCATCTAAATTATTCCGTGGTAGACCACCCCTACTCCGATAATAAGCACTGAAACAGGTCAGAGAGCCAGTACCGTCCGGCAGATCCGGCACCGGTTCTCGCTGCTGCCAAGATTGCAGCCAAACTCGCGAATCGGATAAGTTACAGGTTTTTCATAGAAAAAAATGTTGGTAGCTCAGGGAGCGTAGATTGTCGTTGGCTTGTTCGCTGAGCTGATGCGATGGATCCAGAAAATCGGACTTTTCACTAATAATTGTTCAGCAGTTCCGTTTGTCTGTTTCTCCCTTAGTCAGATGTCAGCCGAAGAGACGGGTCGCAGACTGGTGAAGGGGCGCTCATTCAGGGCGCAGACAAGCCACATGGGTGCTACATAATTACCGACGGATACTTTTACACCACCGGACCGCGTCATCAAGTGATGGCATCTAAATTATTCCGTGGTAGACCCATTCAGGGCGTAGACAAGCCACATGGATGCTACATAATTACCGACGGATACTTTTCCACCACCGGACCGCGTCATCAAATGATGGCATCTAAATTATTCCGTGGTAGACCACCCCTACTCCGATAATAAGCACTGAAACAGGTCAGAGAGCCAGTACCGTCCGGCAGATCCGGCACCGGTTCTCGCTGCTGCCAAGATTGCAGCCAAACTCGCGAATCGGATAAGTTACAGGTTTTTCATAGAAAAAAATGTTGGTAGCTCAGGGAGCGTAGATTGTCGTTGGCTTGTTCGCTGAGCTGGGCAATTTGCTTACGGACGTTTCATCACCGACTGAGGTGACAACATTATTCTGTATTTAGTGCAGCTATGCGTGATGGTTGTGCACAGTCACTAACCCATCGGTTCGCACCACTACTTCCCCCAATAACGCACTGATGATGTTGATTTGATGGAAAAGGGTAGCATATCCGACGGAGAAAAACGCCGTGTGGTAGGCAGGAGTGTCTTCTTGAAACACAAATTACGCCAGATGGCCCGTCAAGGCACACGTGGGCTCCTTTCGTTCATCAATGTAAATTGATTGCTTGGATGGATCTCCGTCACCCTTTATCATTCAATGCCAGTGGGCATCCGCCCACCAGAACTGATTTCTCTTGAGATCAGGTAGGCTGTGCATTCTGCTACAAGGCATTCTATAGTGACAATAGCCCATGTTATTTGGTTAGCTGTGCCAATGTTTATCATCATTTCACGTTGGGAAATCAGACATTTATACCCCCTCAATCAGGGCAAGATACCTACGGAGGTGGGCAACGCACCTTTTTAAATTGTAGTCGCTGGTCTCAGAAGTAGCCGCACCATCGAGGCCAGAGCTTAAGTCTCTGAGTACATAATACAAAGGACATCAAGAATCTGACTGACATACTGTGCGTTTGTTCCTACATCCCGCGCGGCTCTTCCGATCACTGCCTGTTTCACACTGCGTATTTACCTTTCTCTGTTGCTTGCTAGAGGTTTTTATTACTTTGGGGGTGTACCACTGCCTAAAATGCTGTTTTTCAACCCTTCTGACTGTTCTCCCCAAGATATCTGAAAATCGGACCTGGACGGCTATCCGCGCTTTGGGACCACCTTAATTCTGGCTACTTGCAGGAGAAAATAAGGATTTAAAACAGTGGAATGTAAAGTCATCATGAGTGCCATTGTTGAAGTCCTTGGAAATACGCCCAATTTGAACCTACCAAGAGCTATATATCGAAAGTTACCAAAAGGAGGATTTATCAAAGTACATAACTAAGGCGCAAGATAGTTCAAAGTTGCATCACAGATATACGATTGACATGTGAGCAAGCTTTAACAGAATAATTACTTTTATCTTGTACGTAGGTCGGTAAGTTAGTGTTAGCCTTATGTTGCCCAAATAGTTGACGGCTCCATAATAAGCGAATAAAACCCAGCACAACTTCATGGATTTTAGTCAAATATTAGATAAAAATAATTTGCAGCTGCAGATAGCAGCGAAACTTGAACTGCCAAAACCTATTTAACGCCAAGGCACTTCATGAAAGGCGGGAAAATCCTGAATGGATTATGTTTCTGCTGCTTCTTGGCTTTGTCTAATGACAGTCAGGAAAACACTGAGTGCGCACATAATGCATTATGGATCCCACCAAGTGAAATTACCAAAACAGCAATTTACACACGTAGCCCGTACAACTACGTACAATCTGGTAAAATTTTTTCCGTGA